TAGGAAAACTTTTAGCTGAAAAAGCGTAAAAAAAAAACCTTCCGCTTTCAACTACAACCATTACTTCGTCACTCGCCTCACAACTGCACTCGTTTGTCTTAAACAACACTGACGAACTCGAAATTGATAATATTATTATGACTTTAAGAAATGACTGTGCGACAGGAATTGACAAAATACCTTGTTCTTTCATTAAACAAAATAGATTACATTTGATTTCACCCCTGACTTACATATTTAATCTCTGTCTATCAACAGGAACGTTTCCCAAAGTACTAAAAACAGCCCTTATAAAACCTATTTACAAAAGCGGTGATAAGAGCAATATTAACAATTATCGTCCAATTGCCATATTACCATCTCTCTCTAAACTACTAGAAAAAATAATTTACAAAAGGCATGTTAACTATTTAGAAACGAAGAAACTTCTCTCGACGTCCCAATTTGGGTTCAGACAAGGACTATCGACAAACGACGCAGTCGATGAGCTGACGGAATACATCGTAACAAATTTGGACTTGAGGAATAAATGTTTGGCAATATTCCTTGACCTCGCAAAAGCTTTTGACACTGTAAACATACCAATACTTTTAAACAAGTTAGATGAACTTGGAATTAGAGGAATACAGCTCAAACTTTTACAGGACTATCTTTCTGACAGAAAACAGCGCGTGACTATTGACAAAATAACGAGTGCTGAATTACCGGTTGAATATGGTGTTCCCCAAGGAAGCATCATAGGGACTATCTTATTCCTTGTCTATATTAATCAACTATGCGCTCTCCCCCTATCTGGTGGCAAGATCATATCTTACGCTGATGACACAGTTCTTTATTATTATTCAGTGCCCCAAGTTGGAATGAAATCTTTACACAAGCTCAATTTGGTTTTAACTCGGTAACCGACTGGCTTAGAGCAAATGCCCTGACACTTAATACTACCAAAACTAAATACATCACTTTCTCCTACAATATTTCCTCACAACCTGTTGAGAATGCTTACTCAATAGTAGTTCACAATTGTGTTGGCCCTCGATCTCTTGGATGCCTCTGTACTTGCTCAAAACTGGACAGCACAAGCAATATTAAATATTTAGGTGTCATAATTGACCAACATCTCAATTCCAAACAGCATATAGTGGCGCTAACTTCTAGAGTTCGAAAATTGATTTATGTTTTTAAAACTTTAAGATACTCGGCCAACAGCCCCCTTCTCAAATCAGTTTATTTAGCCCTTTGTCAATCACTGTTACTTTACTGCGTTACATCCTGGGGCGGTGCACATAAGACCACTCTGCTACACCTGGAAAGAGCGCAGAGAGCTGTTCTTAAAGTGATCAACTTTCGTCCTTTCGATTACCCAACCCACAAATTACTAAACGAGTGCGATGTTCTATCTGTTCGGCAACTGTTTATCCTGCAAATAATTTTGAAAAAGCACTCAATTACTCCATATGATTACATGACTGTAACTAAGCAAAGACGACACGATCCCTTTTCATCTCGTACACAACTCCGCACAGCACACTCACATAGATTCTTCTGCTTCCTTGGCACATTCCTTTATTTTAAAATAAATTCTACTTTACATTATTTTCATATGAATAAAACTGAATGTAAAAAGACCGTCAAATTTTGGCTTAAGAGTAAAACCTATAATGATACCGAGGACTTGTTGGAAGTTCTTTCATAATTTATATTTATATAATAAGTAATGTTTAACTACTTATCTTTTATAAATTGTAACGACTTATAACTACTTATCTTTTATTTGTTAAATCTATAAAATCTTTATTTTTTTAAGCTTTGTTATGAAAAATGCACTATTATGCCTAAAATACAGGTACACATGTACTTAGTGTAGGCATCGCAATTGCACTATTAGGCACTAAGATTAAAATGTTTAATTTTACCATGATTATTTTATATAATTTAGATTTATTTTTTTTTTTGTTTTTTACTGTTTATTTTAATATTTTATCTTCAATTACATTGTTTTCATTATAATTGTATTAGATTAAGTCATATTGAAATAAATTTATCTTATCTTATCTTACCTTCTATTACATCGAAAAACATAAAAAGATTTCGCTGCTCTCAACGCGACAATAACGACCAATCCTGCTTCGATCCTTCACGTCGGCTTAATGATTTTGTAAACAAGCTATGCCCTCCATGGGTGCCCAGTCAAAAGGAGGCTTCTACTTTTGCTGCAAAATTGGTCTCTCCAGAGCGTATGAATGACACCTTCTCATTCTCGGAATTGCTCCTACTTTTGGACCATCTACAGTCCTCCCCGGGTGTAGATGGAATACCATATTCCTTCTTGAAAAATGCGATGACTTCTGCTAAGACGACATTTTTAAAATTGGTTAACTCCATATTCCTTTCAGGACGTCCTCCCGAGGAGTGGAAGACGCATGTAGTGGTTCCGATTCTGAAACCTGATTCCGATTCTTCCAGCTATCGTCCTATCGCTTTATCATCTACCTCAGCAAAAATTATGGAACACCTTATTAAAAATCGGTTGGAGTGGCTCTTGGAAAATAGAGACATTCTAGCTAAGAGTCAGTTTGGTTTCAGGAAGGGAAGCGGTACCATGGACAGTGTAAGCATTCTGGTCTCCAATATACTCCTGGCCTTCTCAAAGAATGAATCTCTGGTTGGTGTCTTCTTGGATATTACTGCTGCGTATGATAACGTGATTCTTCCCCTGCTCAGGCAAAAATGCATCTGCTGAGCATTCCGGAAATATTGACCAATTTCTTTTTAATCTCTACTCGGGCAGGACATGCCTGATTCGTTTCCAAGGAGATTTGGTAGCATCAAGGAATATTTGGAAAGGCCTCCCGCAAGGGTCTGTTCTCAGTCCTTTGCTGTACAATATTTATACATATGATCTGGAGAGATCAGTGAACAGTTTTTGTAGTATCCTCCAGTACGCTGATGATCTAACTATGTATGCCCACGGCTCGTCACTTATTTTCATCATGACATTTGTTTCCGTCTGAATTCTGCTCTACAGTACCTTGGTGATTAGCTAGGTGACCATGGTCTTTCTTTATCAGCTCCTAAAAGTAGTATAGTTGTTTTCTCCCGGAAAAAGAGTATAACCACAAGTTTTCATCGCTATTCTAGAGCAGTGTATATCACTATTTGACAGTTTCAAATTTTTGGGCATCATATTAGATTCTAAATTGACAGGCGTCCCCCATTTAACCTATATTGCCAAAAAGTGTGAGAGAAACATTAATATTCTCCACTCCTTGTCAGGCACTTGGAGGGGCTCCCATCCACTCTGCCAAAAAAAATTGTATAATGCCGTAATCCGTAATCACTTTGACTACGGCTCTTTTTTATTGGAACCATGTCACAAAACTGTCCTCAATTTGTGGGACAAAATCCAGTGAAAGTGCCTCTGTCTTATCATTGGTGCAATGAAGTCTTCCCCAATAAATGCTCTGCAGGTAGAGTGTGTCGAACCTCCACTCTTCCTGAGAAGGCAGCTTCTAGCTGATAGATTTTTTTACAAGGTTGCACAAATATCCCTTCATCCTCTCCTAACCAAGCTCTGTCCATACTCTGTCTTTAACATAATCCCATAAAAAATAATCCAGAGGTGTTAAATCACATGATCGAGCTGGCCACTTAATGGCTGAATTTCATGAAATTATGTGTTATATGTTAGTGATATCTATATCATCAATAATAGACCAAAATTGAGTCGTTAACATCTCTCGAAAGCGCAATCCATTGACCATAACCGCATTTCCAGCCGAATTTTCGAAAAAAAAACGTGTCGAATCGATTGCAGCCTAATACTTTTAAACCTAATTAATTTGTTAAGTGATTAACGAAATAGACCCACCAATTTGGCAAAAAGTGATTAAAAACTTTGATGAAAGAATTGACATCTGTAACTGTGGTTGTGGTGGACATTAATCGGATATCATTTTTTATTCATAATTGCCAAACCATACTTTTTTTAATACAATACTAATTTGAATCATTGTCATCTAAATTTATTGTTTTATTTAGATTTACAAAACAAAGTTCTTGTTGAAAAACCGTTTGCATTAAACATGTGAGACGGAAGTAGAGAGAGAGGATGCGCGAGTGTGACATCTCTTCGCATAAAATGTGAGCTAGCAACTGAAAGTTAATGCGGTTGCACCACAAGGGATTCTCTTCGTGGGTGAATTGGGGATGTATTTCCATTCATTGGCCTGGCTAGCATGCGTGTTGACTAGGTAACCAAATGTTATTAATTAATATTTTGGATAAATAATTTAAATGTGAAAATTTGACCTACCAACGGGGTCTTTGAATGATACATAATGCATAGAAAAAATTTGGCGACTGATAAAAATATCAAAAAGTCAGCCTACGTATGCCTAAATCTTTAAAATAAAAAGTTATTATGCTCAAGAAAAATCAAGCTACATGGTTGTAGCTTGATTTTTCTTGAGCTGATTTATTTCATCTTGTTTGCACCATATCAAAGTTACTTATTTGTCCAATTTGGGTGTCTTCATAAACTGTTTAGGATTTACAATAACAAATAAAGTTGGATTCCCTCAATAGTTACGAAAAGTGCCTTAAAAAATTAGTTACGTATGACATGAGAAGATCAAAGTTATCAAAATTGTAAGAAATGTAACCATCTAGCAACACCACACATTATTCATTCGCTATTATTGTCATATTGTATGCAAAACTGCAAAACAGCAGAATAGCGGGTTTTCTAAGAACAGTTTACACTAATAGTTTCTGGAAAATCTCGTAACAGTGTAATTAATTATTGAAAAAATAGTACCTTTTCATTGCTTCAATAATAATAATTATGCATTTACATTGGCTGTATGCACTTACAACCAACATAAATGATACACTAGTAAATGATTAGGCTATGAAGAGTTATCCATTAGGCAATGGAAATCATTATATTATATTATCTCTCATATTACACTTGCTTAACTTGGGTGTTAAAATGTACTTACAGTCTTAATTTAGCAGGATGAGCATCCGTTTCCTCTGAAACTATTTTGATCCCTTTTAGTTTAACATTGCCTGTGAATGGAATATTGAACAGGAGCTCTTCGTCTGCATCACTCTCGACAAACTGAAAAAGCGGTAAGCAAATTGGAAAAAGGGTCTTAAACCTGCACATAGCTAGCAACAAAAGTATTCAAACTAACATCAGTGCGATCCAACCGTTTCTCCCAAGGTTTGAACACTGTTTTCCCCGATCCCTCCACAATTTCATTCAAGCACTGCACATTATCTTTATCGATTTTTTCATACAAATTGTATTGTATCCCTAATTCATCAGGATTACTGTGGTCGTGGTCGTGATGCTCATTATGACAATGGCCGTGCGGCATTTTTGTAACATAAACTCATTAATATAAAATGATAATGCGATTTCTAAAAGTACAAACTTAGACAAGAAAACATCAAAACTCAAATTCACGGCAGTTAACCTCGTTGCAAGCCTCAGTGACATTTTAACGAATTCACATTGACACTTACAAAATATCGATATATATAAAAAAAGTTATATTTTTTTATGAATTAATCGATATGTTTCGTCGATATTTTTAAAATCGATAGATATATGAAAAATCCATATTTTTATTGTTTATTAAGCAATTTTACAAAAACAGTACTTGCTATAATCATACGTCGTGACATCGAATAAACTTAAAATAGTCTACTTATTAATCTAAACTTGGCGGCATAACAAAAACCTGAGTACCCGTGCACATCAAAATTTATTTTTCAATTATCAATTTTGATATTTTTTATCGAAGCCACAGCAAGTGCTTTACGCATATTTGAAAACAATACCAATACATCTTATAGCATACCACACGGGAGGCGCCATCTGTAAGCAGTCCCCTCTGTCAATAAAAAAATAATATAAATACTACTTTTTAATCGATTTTTTTATTCCCACAATCGAATTCATCGCTTCAACTGCTAAAGACAATAAGCCGTCTTGCACCCACAGAACATTGCTTGCACCCTCAGACCTTTCCTCTAACTAAGCCTTAAGCCTCTAAGCCTATCCACACATATTCGGGTCGTGCCCGGGACGTGGACGGGCCGTGCTCCGCAAGGGGCTCAAAAAAATATGGTTACCTACATATATTTTGTATAAACTCATTCACACATGTTCGTGTCCGGGCCGGCGCCGGGACGGGGCAGTTCATACAAACTAGCACGCCCCGTCCACCTCAGGCACGGCACTGCCCTGATGAAGTCTATAAACATAAAAAATACTGCTGATCTTGATGGTCTTTCAGTCAGAGTAATTAGTTCTATAGTTGATTGTATTGCGCCTTATTTGGCCTGTGTCTTTAATAAATGTATTGATGATGGTGTCTTTCCTGACCTCATGAAGCAAAGTGAAGTTATTCCACTTTTCAAATCTGGTAGTATTTCTGACCCCACCAATTTCAGGCCTATATCAATACTACCAACTCTCAGTAAAATATTTGAAAAAATTATTCTAAATCAGATGTGTGCACATTTTTATAGTAATAACTTAATGTCTCCTAAACAATTTGGTTTCACTCGGGGTCGCTCTACAACCAATGCTGGTGTCGAGTTGATTAATCATATATTTGATGCATGGGAAGTCTCACATGATGCTATTGGTGTATTCTGTGACCTTTCCAAGGCTTTTGATTGTGTGCACCATGATACACTGGTCAGGAAACTTCGCCATTATGGTGTGGCGGGACGTGATCTCGACCTTCTTAAATCGTATTTGCGTGGTAGGGTACAGAGGGTCGATGTTAACGGTACGAGATTGTCAGGATCTGCAATTAGCATGGGTGTCCCTCAAGGTTCAATTCTAGGCCCATTTTTATTTTTAGTTTATATTAATGACTTACCTAGCCTTATGGAGGGTATAAAACATGAGATAGTATTGTTTGCTGATGATACTTCCTTATTATTTAAAGTTAATAGGCACCAATATTCCTACGACGATGTGAACAATGCTATATCTAAAGTAGTTGATTGGTTTGCTGTTAATAACCTACTTCTTAATGAGAAAAAAACAAATTGTGTGAAATTTACATTACCCAATGTTAGAGAGACGGTTACAAACATTGTAGTTAGAAACGAAAAATTGAATCTTGTGGATACAGTTGTATTTCTAGGTATAACGTTAGATGCTAAATTGCAATGGGGTCCCCATATAAGTAAGTTGTCAAAACGGCTTGGCTCTGCAGTGCACGCGATTAAAAAAATAAGGAAACTTTCAGACGTCGAAACCGCTAGATTGGTTTACTTCAGCTACTTTCATAGTCTAATGACATACGGCATTTTGCTTTGGGGTAATGCCGCCGATATCAATAAAATCTTTGTCCTGCAGAAACGTGCAGTTAGGGCAATTTACAATCTGGGCCCCAAAGTATCTTTGAGAGATAAGTTTAAGGAAATTAACATTCTTACACTAGCCTCACAGTACATTTATGAAAATGTAATTTATGTTAAAAGGAATAGTAATTTATTTATGAAAAATAGTGACAGACATAACATTAATACGAGGAATAGAAATAAACTAGCTTTTCTTGATAGTCGTCTTCACAAAGTCAAAAAATCATTTAAGGGGCAATGTATACGCTTTTATAACAAGATTCCGGTTGATATACAAAATTTGCCTTTCACGAGGTTTAAAACTATAGTGAAACAAAAACTTTATACTAAAGGTTATTATACAACTTCTGCGTACTTGGATGACAAAAATCCGTGGTAGTAACCCGTTTAGCTCATGGAGGTAGTCTCGATCTCTGATGTTTCAATTAAAAAAAATATTGTAAATGTTATTTACAAAGAGCAACCCCTAGAGTTTCTTGCTCATTCTTCTCAGGGGAATCTGCCTTACGAATGAGCGGTAGAGTTTAACCATTGTGACGATTTCAAGTGTAATAATGCTTACCTATGAAATAAAGATTATTTTGAATTTGAATTTTGAATTTGAATTTGAATTTGATGTGTGTGGATAGTCCTTTAGACTATTTTCCATCCTCTAAGCTTGCACCATACAAACTTGATTAATAACATTGTTACATCCAGTCTAGTCAAGAATGGACTAACGTTCCATACATTATAAGTTTATTTTTTGTGTTAATCATATTGAATATGATCATATTGAATCAATTGATGATTTTGAAAATATTTCCAGATATTCGAACATTTTGCAAGTATTGATGTTTTGTGCGTTGTGCGTGCGTGCGTTATTGAATTAAAGATCTAAAAGGTTATATTATTTATTCTTCGCTTCATACTGGACCTGACAATCCACATCCGAAAACCACATCAAAAAACCGACCACGCTGGAAGAGAGACGCGGGCATGTGCTCTATCGCACAGCCAATTGCCTAGATCTTCTGCTGACAACCGATCTAGGCCGCTTATCAAGTATCGGTCCCGTCCCCACTAGGGACATCCGATCACTGTCTGGTGAAATCTGTATCTGTCTACTGATAGATATGGGAATATTATATATATGTATAAAGCTACAAGTTCTTACTCACTGATGGAAATAGAACGCATACTTCCCGATATGGTGGAAAAAAATATTTATACCGTTGTACGCGGATAGGCTTCAAAGCAAAGAATCAAATATAAGAGGACCTGAATTTGGAAAATATGAAAGAGTGATCAACGGCCTACAAAATATACGGAGGGAGTATTTGTGCATTGTTATGAGCCCTGGCCAATTTCCGCGGGAAGTAAAAAATGTTCGAAATTCAAATAAATAAGATGGCCGCCATACAAATTTCAAAGCACCCTATCACGGAAACTATTAGAGATAGGCAGGAGGTGTTCGAAGGAATATCATAGACGGTAACACCGATCAACTGCCTGGGCTAAAAAAAATTCAAGATCGCGATTTAAAAATGGCGGTCGAAGAAAAACTTGCTTCGATCCGGCTGAAAATTGGCATGCATGGGTCTTTAGGAGTCCTTAATCATAATTTGGGGTCAAACGTTTATTTTCGCTATTTTTTAATATGGCTGCCATACAAGTGTTTTTTTCTTTAAAAATAGCTGCCGAAAGAGATTTGCTCTGAATAGGCTGAAAATTGGCATGTGAAGGACTCTAGAAGTGCCGATTAGATAATAATTTGTGCTCAAAATTAATTTTTCGCCATTTTCAAATATGGCCATCATAGAAGCGTTCGTTGGCGGCAGAAAAAAAATTGCTCAGATCCCTTTCAAAATTGGCATATGATGGAGTGCTCTAGGAGTGCTTGATAATAATTTGTGATCAAAATTGGTTTTTCGCCACTTTTGAATATGGCCGCCAAATAAGCGTTTATAAAAGCTAGCTCTAATTCAACTGAAAATCGCTATGTGGTCTATAAGTTTTTGATATAATTTGCCGTCAAAATTTATTTTTTGCGTTTTTTTCCAATATGGTTGCCATACAAACTTTTTTAACGGCAGATAAAAAAATTGCTCTAATTCGATTAAAAATGGACGTGTCGAGGTATCTAGGAGTGTTTAATAATAATTAGCGGTCAAAAATTATTTTTCGCCATTTTTCAATATGGCTGCCATACAAACTAGTGGTAGATATTTTTTTTTTCTAATTCAACTGAAAATGGCAACCGTAATTTTTTATGTAAATGGGTGTTGAAAAAACTTGTTTTGCTTGGACTGAAAACTGGCACAAAATGATTTCTAAGATTGTTTGATAAAAATTAGTGGTAGAAAACATATTTTTGCAATTTTTAAATATGGCCGCCATTAAAGAGTTATTTTAATTTTTTAAAACAAAGTGATAAGTGCCGAGGCCGTAGGCCGAAGTCCGCGGAGGGCGAAGCCCGAAGCGTATGCACGATATCGCGATGGAGATAGTATATGGAGGCGTAATAGATTACGAGTATAAGATCTCACAATTGTAAAAATGTAAGGCATACTTCCCGATGTAGTAGAAATGAAATAGGTACTTATTATAGCGTTGTTGTATCTCGATCGTCTCTCTGTTAGATTCCATTTTCTTGAAAGCTATGCCAAAGAGAAGTATAGTATAGGGGAAAAAAATGCCAAACTGCTGCGATACCTGTTGTATAAAGCTCAGGTCCGAAGCAGCATGGAGTACTGTTCGCACCTTTGGGACGGCTCTGCCAAGTACTTGCTCGATGCCCTAGATGGACTGCAGCGCTACGCCTTCCGTGTTGTCAACGATCCTCATGTAACTGAGCATGCGGAGTCGTTACAGCTTCGCAGAGATATAGCGTCTCTTAGCGTATTCTATCGCCTGTACCACGGTGAGTGCTCTGAAGAGTTATTCAACCTTATCCCTTCCTCTCCTTTCCATCAGCGGACCACCCGTGCCGGACTGCGTTGCCACAGATGGACGGTCAGTTCAATACCGTCCCGCACTAAAAAGTTTGGCAATTCGTTTTTATGCCGAACCATCAAATTGTGGAACCAACTCCCGGCGCATGTATTCCCTCCCCTCTATAACATCGGGTCCTTCAAACGTAGTGTGAAGAAGCATTTGGCCAGACCGGCAAAATGATAGTGACGGAGTGAAGATATTTGTGTTTTCCATCCGTTACTCTCATCTCTGGACTGTATTCGCACTTTCCATCAGGCGCGGTGCAGTCATTTTGCCGAGTCACAATAAAAAAAAAAAAAAAAACTATGAATATCGAAACAACGATAACCCAGGATACTCTGACCAAAACCAATTTAGAAATTTAA